TCACTCCTTGGAAGGAAGGTTGAGCAGGGTTTCCAAGGCCCCATCACTTCTGCCTTGCTGGCTACAAATTTAGAGATTCCTGATACTTTTCACCCCCGAGGATTGAAAATTCTGATAAATGACTCATAGAAGTCAGGGAAGCACTATACTTATGAGTTAAGTTTTATTATAGCAAAAAGGATATAAATAAAAAGATACAAAGGGTGAGGCCCAGAAGGGTTCCCAGTGCTGTACTTCCATGACCCAAAAAGGGATATGTCATCCTCCCAAGCATCAATGTCTTTCACCAACTAGGAAGCTCACTGAGCTTCCATGACCAGAGTTTTTATTAAGATCTCATTATGTAGGTGTGATTGACTGAATCATGGCCCATGCGGTGGAACTCAACCTCTAGCCCCCATCTGCTCTCCTGAGGTTGGGCTGATATTGCATGGTGGCACTTTCTGGCCCAGCCAGCCCCTACCTAAGAGTCACCTCATTAGAATAAACCTTCAGGTGTGTTCTGGAGTCCTCATAGATAACAGATTCTAATCACTTGGGGGCATTTAGAGATTATCTCTCTGGTACCAAGAACAAAGACCAAATTCCTTGGGTAAAGTTCATTGTAAACCCCACAGTATTATTCTAACCTCATGCTACAGCTCAAGAAACCAAGTGTCAGTAACTTGCCCAAAAGGTCAGTCAATAGTGAATGGCAGTGTCCACCCAGTCTGTGCCCCCTCAGAACCAGGCTCTAGATAGAGCATAAACTCAGTGCTTCTGATTAGCAGCTGGGTTGTGATCTGGGAAGGCTAGGGTAGGCAATGGCTATGGTTGATCTATGCGTCCCAGCTCAATTCACACAAGCAGCTTTCCAGGCAGGCTTTGGTCTTGGGTTGGGTCAGCTGAGTGCTCCACCCTCTGGCCTTACCAGGGAAAAGGTGACCTTTGGCTGCAATCACTGGCCAAACTATTGTTTGCAGTTTTGCAGGAAGCTGTTTGAAAGGGTCACTGAAAAGTGATCTTTCTAAATCAAGCTGTACCAATATTTTATTTCCTTTCATGCAATGCCATGTTTAAAGGCATTTGATGGGCCTGTTTGAAAAGCCTGGGAAACAAGTCTATGTGACTTAAGTTCAGAAAAACAAAAGAGTTCCACTGTTAAAGCAGAGAGAACAGAGCATTGTATGACATGCATACGCCTTAGCCTAAGTCCATGCTCTTGTGCCTAATGGATGTTTAACAAAAAAGCACATCTATATCCAAAACACTTTTTCACAGAAATGTCCTATGTCCTAACATGGATTCATATTAGACCATCTGCTCGTAGTTTTAATAATTTTTTAAAACAAGAAGTTGGTGGAGAAACAGATTGGTGACTGTAAGGAATATAGCTTATTTTTAAAATAAACAACAGACCACTGTCACTAGTCTGAGAACTGGCTTTATGTGGTGTTAGGGGAGAAGAAACATTCAGAAATATGACTTTCCCAGGTGTCCCTCAACCTCTTCCCCAATTTATTGCACCTGTATTAAGACAGAGTTTAAAGAGGTGAAAACTGGAAGCCTGCATGTCATAGGGTTACAGGGCATGTGCTTACCATTCCCCTCTTCCTAGAAAGCATGTTTTGATGGTGAAAGGGCAGATGACAATGTTCTCCTGTGAGCCATGAGGTTTTCAGCAGCTAATTTTTGGAAGTAGATTGCCAGGCCTTTCTTCCTAGTTTATCTTAGTCTGGAAGTTCTGGTTCAACTCTGTCCACCATAGGTAACCCTTTTGGTATCTGCAATACCAGTGGCATAATTTGATGCATCATAATAACATGCATGCCACCATAGTACAACTGATGGGTGGTCTTGCAAGAAGTTAAGCCAAACTGCTCCTTAGAAGCGAGGATGGAGAGACTTGTCTTGTTACTTAGACATGTCACCAGGGAAGACCAATCACTAGAAAAGGATATCATGTTTGGCAGTGGGTCAGTGAAAAAGAAGGAAATGCTAAGAGAGATTGACACAATAGCTACAACAATGGGCTGAAACATCCCAATGATCAAGAAGATGGCACAGAACTGGGCAGCATTTTGTCCTGTTGCACTAAGGTTGCATGAGTTGGAGCTAACTCTATGGCAACTAACAATAGGGCCAAGATGCACAAAGGCCCCCAGAGTCAGTAAGGACCACTGTGGGGAAAGGAGCAGAGAAAATACTCAAAAACAGAGTGAAAAGGGCAGATTTTCTCCTCTTTACAATATGGCCAAGGATCAACACTAACAAATGAAACTCAAGAGTATTAATGTGTGAAGAAACCACAGAGAGCAGTTTACAGATGAGAAAAGAAGGTCCAGGGAGGGAGGTTCTGCCAGATCTCACAGCTGAATAGATATGAAGCTCCTACAGAAACTAGGAAAATCTCAGCACTTCTAAGAATCAAAAGGCTTTGTCATTGTGGGTTCTGTGGGCAAACCCACCACACACTCACTGTTTTTTTTTTTAATCATTTGACCACAAGTTATACACATCATGCTCTTTTATTCTCTTTATTGTTATTATTTTTATTGTGATTCAGGTGAAAGTTTACAGAGCAAATTCATTTCCCATACAGCAGTTCACATACACTTTGTCTCATGACATTGACTGCAATTTCCCACAATGCAACAGCTCTCTCCCCACTTCCTCCCCATAGTTACCTCTTCCCTGTGTCCTTCACTCCCATGCACTCCTGCCCCCGAGCTCACCCTGTGCATACATAGCCCTTCTATTTTCCCATGACTGATCTCTCCAAGGAGTGTATCTACCTGATGTATATGTCCATGCTCCTTTATTCTTAATACTTTAGTGTATAATTCCTAAGAACAAGGCCATTCTCTTACATAATCAGAAGACGGTTACCAACTTCAGTAAAAGTAATGTTGACATAATACTTTTTCCAATTTTCCTTCTATATCCATTGTTGTCATTGGCCCAATAATGTACTTTATAGATGGACCTAGTATTTTTTAGCTCTGATAGCATAGTGCCTAAGGCACTTGACTGCTAACCAGAAGGCTGATGGTTCAAACCCACCAGCCACTCCTTGAAGGAAGGCAATCTACTTCTGTAGTGATACCGCCTTGGAAACCCAAGGAGGGGTCACTATGAGTCGGGTTTGACTAGACGGCACATAACCATAACAACAACAACAGTATTTTTTTAATGGCTAGATGCATATTAAGAATTAATATAAGTAATTAAGAATTAATAGGAGTAGAGTGCATTGGCATTTAGAAACCTTTTGTTATATTAACTCATGTTGCCTTTCTGAGGTCAGGCAGGAAGCACTATCCTTGTTTTATCCATGATAGAAATGAGGCTAAAGGGACGTCAAATACAGAGTCAGAGTTCAGACCTCTCCCCTACATCACTGCTTCATTCCTATTTTTAAAACTTTATGTGTTTTAGTGTCGACCAGCAGACTGAGCACTAATCTAAGCATTTTAAATTCTAAAAATAAAATACTGTAATATAGTTTGGGTACTTATCTCTCTAACCATTTTCTTTTATGTTAATGTTAGGGATTCTAATTAATACCCATAACTACATACTCAGGAAGACTCCTAAACTACCCGTCATGGATAGAATTGTGTCCTCAAAAATAGTTGTTAGAATCCTAATCACTATACCCAACAGCACACAACAAAAACGACATACTTATGGACATAATCCCATTTTGGAATAGGGTTTTCTTTGTTATGTTCATGAGGCCTATCAGTGTAGGGTATGCCTTAAATCTAATCACTTTTGAGATATAAAAACAGCAAATTAGGTTGAGAGCAAGCAAGCACAAATAGGGGAAAGATAGACACTAGGTGGAGGTCTCTAGGGAACCAGGGATGCTAAGGCTGGGGAAGTTGAGACAAGGACCTCCCCCAGAGCCGAGGGAGGAAAGCCTTCCCTAGAGGTAGTGCCCTGAATTCAGACTTTCAGCTGCCTAAACTGAGAAAAATAAAATTTATCTTTGTTAAAGGCACCCACTTGTGGTATTTCTGTCACAGCAGCACTAAGAAACTAAGACACCACTCCAGGGGAGCAACTTGGTCTGAGCTGGGAGGCGTATGGGAGTGGAGGACGGGAGTAGAGGGCAGACTGGGAGCAGCCAGGACCGGGCACCTGGGGCCAGGCCTCAGCAGCTGCTCAGCCTGCTTCACAGAGTCTACTCTACCTTTCCCACAGAATCCACAACAAAGGATTCCCAAGTCTGAGTCTGATTTAAACAAAGAAAGCCTAGACACACGACATACATCTTGCAGGGAGCAGTAAAAAATTAGTTTGGGAATGGAGAGGGAGCTTTCCAATCCTCAGAAATAAGACTATAAAGGGACTGACTCCAACTCATGATCTTGCTTGTTAAACATAAAAGGCTTGGTTTGGGAAATGAAACTATTGGGGTTCAAAGCCTGACTCTGCCAACTGAATTCATTTTCCTTGGGTAGCCAGGCTACCTAACCTTGCTGGGCTGCAATTCCTTCATTCATTAACTGGGTGACAATACACATGTGAAGTGGTTAGCTAACATATGGAAGGTGTCTAGCTCCTGGTGTTATCGCTCCACAGCAAGGCAAGCTTCTGCTTTTCCCACGACCCTAAAGAAGCAAGCAAGGTTGAGCTTATAAGTGTTAACAGGACATGAGCAATGTGGTGAGTTTTGATTAAAATTTCACTGTTGAACTAGCCATCAAGTCGACTCACGGCAATCCTATGTGTGTCAGAGTAAAGCTATGTTTCACAGGGTTTTCAGTGGCTGACTTTTTGGGGACATAGATCACCAGTCCCCTCCTCCAAGACACCACTGGATGAATGTGAACCTCTCATCTTTTGGTTAGCAGTGAGCATGTTAACTGTTTGCACCAGCCAGGGACTCACACTGACTATTAAGAATACAAAATAACAGACCAACTTTTGTGTGGCACTGAGGCAGCCATGACCTCTTCAGGGACTTTGGTTCCAAGTCTGTGAATGTGGGGTAAGAAAAGCAAAACATTTACCTTTTCCAAGGCCTCTCTGTCAAGTAGTTCTTGCACAGCTAGAAGCTTGATGCTGTAAGAAAAAATGAAAACCACACTTGAAAAAACAACAAAAAAAGTCACCAACAGTCACATGAGTCACAAGAACAAAGGTCTGAAATTTCACCCTGTATCACTACTTCACCTCCCATCTTAAGGTCACCTCCTGTTTGAAGCAAAATTACCATTTCAGAACTATTAAACAGGTTTCTAAGCTCTAAAATTGATTAGTAGCTGCTTTATGTAAGGAATTCAGATAAATTCAGAAGAGTTTAAAGAAACCAGTAAACCATGTTCAGTATTAATCTTCATTTCATGTACCTTTGATGATAATGAGCAAATAGCTCAAATCACTGCTTACTAGAGAATATGCTCAGTCTCTGCTCATGTGTTTGCCAAACAGTTATCAAGCCCTACTGTGTGTAGGTGGCTGATACAAGATGACTATGACATGATCCCTGCCCTCAAAGAGCCATCAGCCTCTCAGATATGCAGTGTGCAAAGTAGACACACTGAGACACGGAGAGGAGGCTGGCCCAGAAGAGGCTTCTTAGAGGAGGGACTGGTTTAGTCATGGCAGGGGAGGGGGCTGAGGTGAAAAGTGACCCACAAAGGGACAGCAGGGGAGAGAGAGTGTAAAAGCTGTGCATGACCCTAAGTTTCTAGATTAGGGGCCTGAGCCCAGACTCCAGCAGCAACCAAGAGGAGAGAACTCAGAAGTGTCACAGGTTTCATACCCTGTTGTCACGGAGTCAATTCTGATCAAGGTGACCCCGTGTGTTACACAGTAGAACTACTCTATAGGGCTTCCTTGGCTATAATCTTTACAGAAGCAGATTGCCATATCTTTTTTCCATGGTGCTGCTGGGTGGGTTCCTATTGTCAACCATTAACCTATTGCCATCGAGTCAATTCCAACTGATAGCGTCCCCCATTTGGGTTTCTGAAGCAGTATATCTTTACAGAAGTAGACTGCCCCATCTTCCTTCTGTGGAGTGGCCAATCCTTAGGCAAGTGAGAACCAAAACCAAACTCACTGCCATGGAGTCGACTCCAATTCACAGCAACCTCCATTGGGTTTCCAAGGCTATAAATATTTGTGGAAGCAGACTGCTTCATCTTTCTTCCATGGAGCAGCTGGTGGGTTTGAACTACTGACCTTCTGGTTAACAGCCAAATGCCTTAACCACTATACCACCAGAGCTTCTTATTAGGCAAGTAGTCAAGTGTAAACTGTTTGTGCCACCCGAGGATTTACAGGTTTCATAAGGGATGCAGTTTCCATTTTTTGACCTGTTGCTTTCGAGGTTCTCATGGACACAGTGAGGCTGTGAGGGGGTCCTGGGCTGGGCTCATCAGCACACAGGTTGATGTATGAGATGAAAGAAAACAGTGTAGAGTAGGTATGCCATTGATGGTGTCATGATGCTTTGCCCCCATCCTACCCTCCACTTCCAGCTAGTCTGCTATGGCCACTGTTCACTGTGCTCAGCTTCCTGCCAACCTGGCCAGGCTTCCCAGAGCAGACCTGAACCCCACACGTCCCCCATGCCTCCCTCAGAAAGGGTTATCCATGATCAGGTTCACATATATTTACAGGATTCTTCGCAATTGCTCTGTACAAGTAAGCGAGCACCATACAATCAAATGTAATGGTTTAAAAGCAGCTCCAGGAAGTGCAATAAAAGTTGTAAAGGCTTACCAGAAACCAGCACTATCAACAGGAACGTAGCCAAGATTGGAGCTAACGGACAGGACTCAGTGTTCACTCTGCCCTAACCACACTGCCTTGCATTCCATGTCCTGAACACATTTGCTTTTGATGTTCCTTTGGCTTGGAAGGGTCTTCCCCAGTCCCAGTCTGGTCGCAAATGCCACCTTGTCCAGTCATCACTGTCTGAAACCTGAGCCAAAGCACTGTCCTAGTTTCCACATTTTATCTTTTTCAGGGCACTAATTCATTGCCATTAAGTACTCCAACTCATAGCAACCCTTTTTAAAGAAAGATTAGAACTGCCGCATAGAGAGTTAAAGTGAAGACTTTAAATCTTCACTGGAGCAGACTGCTTTATCTTTTCTCCCGCAGAGCAACCGGTGGGTTCGAACCACCAACTTTGTGGTTAGCAGCCAAATGCTTTAACTACTATGCCACCAGAGCTCTTTTCAGGGCACTTACTGAAAAGCATTTACTTATTTGGGTGCTTCCATTTGTCTCATCCCAAAGGATCTAGAAGTTCCTTAAGGTTAGGGATGTTGCATTTTTTCTCATTGCTACACAGTTGTCCCCTCTTATGCATAGTTTTACTTTCTATGGTTAACTGCACTCTAAAAATTGATATTGTGCACCATTCTGAGTAATGTGATGAAATTTCACTCCAGCCTGCTCCAATCTGGAGCTTCCTCCTCCTCTGCTGGGCTTGAGCCTGGAAAACGCAGTTGGGTGAGTGGCTGCACCCAACCTTGCTGGCATCCAACAGGTTCATGCTGCCTGCTCAAGGCACCCTGGGTACCTGTCATATATTTGTATAGGAAAAAAACAGTATATACAGGGTTTGGTACTATCCATGATTTTAAGCATCCACTAGAGCTTTTGGAACATATCCCACACATCTAAAGAGGGGGAGTGCTACTGTATTTGCAGAGTCTACAATTGATGTGTGAAAAGCACTCAAGAGATACTTGTTGACTGAGTGACTGAGCCCAGAAACCTACAGACTAGGTTGCTATTATAGCTCATCTATCTAACATTCATCTGTCATTTTGTCATACTGTGGTAGCTTGCATGTTGCTATGATGCTGGGAGCTATGCCACTGGTATTTTAAATACCAGCAAGGTCACCCATGGTAGACAGGTTTCAATGGAGCTTCCAGACTAAGACAGATTATGAAAAAAAGCCTGGAGATCTACTTCTGAGAATTAGCCAAAGAAAACCTTATGGATCACCAGAAGAACTAGATGGTACCCGGCTACCACTACCGACCACCCTGAGTACAGACGCCAGAGAAGGTCCTGATTAGAATGAGAGAAAAATGTAAAACAAAACTCAAATTCATAAAAAAAGACAAGACTTACTGGACTAATAGAGACTAGAGGAACCTCTGAGACTATTGTAACAAGATACCCTTTAATGTGGAACTAGAGCCCTCAAATGCATGTGAGAGCTGGACAATGAAAAAGGAAGACTGAAGAAGAATTGATGCTTTTGAGCTGTGTTGTTGGTGAAGAATGCTGAAAGTACCGTGGACTGCTAAAAGAACTAACAGGTCTGTCCTGGAGGAAGTGCAGCCAGAATGCTCCTTGGAGGGGAGAATAGCCAGACTTCGTCTCACCTACTTTGGTCATGTTGTCAGAAGGAACCATTCCCTGGAGAAGTATGTCATGCTTGGTAAGGTAGAGGGTCGATAAAAGAGGGGAAGCCCTCAACGAGATGGATTGACATGGTGGTAGTGGCGATGGGCTCAAGTATAGCAAGAATCGTGGAGCTGGATCAGGATTGGGCGGTGTTTTGTTCTGCTGCGCATAGGGTCACTATGAGTCAGAGAACGAGTGGAGGGCACCTAATAACAACAACAAAGCCCCTCCCAGAGGTCACCTTTCAGCCAAATAATAGATTGCCCTAAAAAGTAAACAATAATACCCATGAGGAATGTGTTCCTTTAAACAATCAACTACATGAGACCAAATGGTCAAAGATGAGCAAAGCAACAATGAGAAGGCAAGGAGGGGCAGGGGAAACAGGAGGAATGGAAATGGGGCAGGCAGGGTGGAAACAGTGAAAGTGCTGATACATTGTGGGGACAGTAACCAATGTCATGGGACAATCTGTGTACAAACTGTTGAATGCGAATCTAATTTGCTGTGTAAAAGTTCACCTAAAACACAATAATTTGAGGGAAAAAAAAGAAAAAACAAACTTATGGATCACAACAGAACATTGTCTGACTTGTTGCTTTGGACATGTCCTGAGGAGGCATCAGTCACTGGAGGACAACATCATGTATGGTGAAGCAGAGGGCCAGTGAGGATGAGGGAGGCCAATGAGCGTGAGAGAGTCCCTCAGTGAGATGGATTGGCATAATAGCTACAACGCTGGAGTCAAATGTGCCAGCAATTGTGAGGATGATGCAGGACTGAGCAATGTTTTGTTCTGTTGTACATAAGGCAACCGTGAGTGGGAGTCAATTCAATGGAAGCTAACAACAGCCACCATCAACTTGAATGGATAAAATCACAGGCCATGCCTCAATTTCTCCATCTGGAAAAGAATGCCACAAACAAGATGGCTGAATGTATTATCTCTTAGTGAAAAATGTTATGTGCATTTGTAAAAATTATTGTCATTAATGAAATGAGCCTGGTAGTAGGTCAAAGCTATTGGCCACTCTTGAGTACATTCTGACTCCTAAGGTACAAATCTAGATTCTAGATTATTAATATAGACAGCAATTTATATGCTAAGTTAGGAGATTCCAGTTGTACTCAAGTTTCAGGAGCTTAAATTGCTTCTGAAATAACCACTGGAAAATATTTATACTGGAGGGACTTTCAGTCCCTCTCTACAATCATGAAGTCCAACTCAGTGTCAGATAGCAACAGGGTAATGTTAAGGTTTAAACATAGTTAAGAAGGTCATCTCTCTTTTTTTTGTCTATTCACAAAGATGCTACCTTCAAACAGCTGTCAAACATGATTTGAAAGCCAAAGGTTTCACACACTGAATGAAAACGAAAATAACTTCAGTTGACTCTTATTTAGGTCAGACACTAAGAAAGCTATTCCTTGCTCTCATCACTTTACTTTCTTCTAGATCACATATTATAGATACTTGGTATGCAGATTGCTACTCTCCAATGCACTCCTACCCCTGACTTCTTTCCATGGAACTTTTCCTCAGTAAACTCAGACAGAGCCTCAAAATCCTTCTTACCACTCCAGTAAGCCACAAACAATCTACTGAAATTGTCATGTGAGATAAAACTCATTTAACATCTGTTCTAAAACCAATACCAAAGAGTACCAATGATTAAAGTGAG